GGGAGTTTCCACCGGGAGCATGCCTCTATATCAACCCTTTCTCTCTCTTTATTATGTGCTCTTCCTCAGTTTGCTCTCCCTCTCTACCCACGGTTAACCTCTTTATGAAGGTGTAAATCCCACCTGGCTTCAGCTCACAGATGAAGGACAGCCCGTGGGCGATTTAGCTGCTCCTGAAAGCTGATCTTCGAGTTCTTAGATCTGTTCTCTGTGCAAGTGCATGCTCATACAGTTTGTGTGCGTGTGTGTGTTTTAATGACATTGCTGGCACTGTGCTACAAGGACAAGGGGGGGGGGGGACTGGCACCTTATCAGGGATCAGAGACCGTTGGAAGAACCTGCCTCAACAAGTTAGAATTTGCACTTAGCGGTCCACGAATGCACATACACAAACTTCTACAAACACACACTTGTGCACACCCGTAAGAAGCGACTCTCACACTTAAGGCGCTTTCTCACTGGATGAGGATTTGACTTTATCTTTTAATTCTCCATCCATACAGGAAGTACGAGATGCGGCTGAATGGGAACGAGTGAATGGCGCAGGGAAGGTCCATTGAGGCGACAAGAGGTTGCCCATCAAGCATTTAAGAAAAATCCCCCTCCCATTTCACAGCAGCCTGGATTTGCAGTAAGAAAGAACAAGCTTAAAGAGAGAGGAAGATTATCATGTTATTGCTATAATCATTGCGCAATGTGCGAGAAATCCCCCACTCCAATCCCCTCATGACACAAATACACTGCGACCGTCTGACTTTCCAAGACCTTTAAATGCACGGCAAGTGCTTATGCTTCATTGTAGTCTAAGGTGTTAGAAATGGTAAATACTTGGTCCTTCAGCTGTTTGCCAAGCTGAAAGATCCCTCCTTGTGTAAACTTCCTACTGGAAACAACATGACTGGGCTTGTCTACTTGTTGTAAAGTATCAGTCGGCACTGACATGTTTTACTGTCGCCAGGTGCAGTTCAAATGAACGTATATTAAAGGTGTTTTTAAAGAGTAAAGAGACGGGGTTTTTTTAATGCTTTTGAAAGCTTTGAATTTTGATTGTGATGAGACTGAGCTTACTGGTCGTATCTGTGAGAGGAGGAAGGTAGGCAAAAAGGGGAGGCAGATTTGACTAGTTTACATAAGGTCACACCGGGTCCAGTCACTTGCGTGCTCAGACTCTATTGTGGTCGACTGTATATTGTCAAGAACGGGAAAAGACATAAATGCATGGGCACATAAAAAACCTCAATTACAAACAAGCGCAAGCATACATATACAATACAATACATATATGAATATCTAGTCAACGCGTTTAATAGCTTAAAGCCATGGACACAGCTGGTGTTTCGGCTTAACGAGTGACCGTGTTAACGGGTGACTCTCAGAACATATAAGTCTCCTCGTAAAAGTCAATTGTAAATACATACTCATTTATGTTTACAATCTACGCCCACCATTTACGGAAGTAACTGCGAGCGACCACGGCCGCATTCGGCTTAAAGTCACCAGTTAACACGGTCACTTGTTAAACCGAAACACCTGTTGCTCTAAATTCTGTATAACTTGAGTCTGCTGTTGGAATATCGATTCTGACAACCAGACATTTAATGCTGTTAACAGTTTTAATTCAATGGTTATGGATGGCTGAGGGAAAAATACCACTTCCGTTGCCAACATGCGTGTATGTGTTTAATGTTGGGCCTACACACAACATGTGTCTACAATGGTGGCTAAGGCTCTTAATTCACTGTTTAGCACTGTTTAGGTGTACTCTTTGGTAAATGTAAGGCTTAGTTACAACCACGTCCTCATTTCTACAGTAAATCCAGTTATATTTAAACTAGTGCTGGGCAACGATTAAAATATTTAATCGCGATTAATCGCATGGATTTTTTGCGATTAATCGCATTGTTATGGCAAAGTTCAATAATGAATTCAAAAGTAGTGTATTGCGCACTTTTATCTTGAAAGTACTGCTTTATGAACAAAAGTGCAATAACATTTGGTTTGCAAAAACAAATAAGGTTATTTTTAACAGCAGTATTCTCTTTACACAGTAGCAGTTATAATACAGTTATGATTCTGATAATAGATATTCAGCCGGTGTTCATAACTTTATCTTCATGTGTGTAAGAGATGCAATTTAAATATACACCTTGAAAACTGCAAACCTATCTACTTCTTTTTTTTTTAGTTTGTTAAATTCTCAGTAGCGATAACTAAATGATGCTTATTATACATATTACAAACAAAAACACTTTAAAAACTCGACAATATGTATTTTAATATTGTCACTGTTGTAAATTATTTGATTGCATGATTTACTTTTATTGTGAAGAGCATGAAAACGGAAGTGCTTTTACTTTGAAGAGACAGGAAGTAGAATGGTACGTGTTCTTGACGCTAACAATGTTGATACTAGAAAACCACATGTCCGGTGCAAGAGCGTGTTCTGTTCACTGTAACACTGTAATATTGCAGTTCAGACAGTAAAGTATTCCGTTCAAACAAGACGTGTCTTTGTCCTCACTAGAAGCTCCAATTCACAACAGTCACGTTTGATCTGTAACGAGACGATCGTGGTCGCGTGTGTGTGTGTGTGTGTGAGACAAGAGTGAAGGACGGTGACGGAGTGTAGGAGGGGTTTGGGGGGAAGAAGGAAGTGATGCCACACGAACACAGCTGTTCACAGCTTGCTGCCTGGTTCTTGTGTTAAAAATGTGCTTAATAATAAATAAATAAAAAACTGCGATAATAACGCATTAACTTGCCCAGCACTAATTTAAATATAAAATCTGCATACTTCAGCGGCCCGTTCCACAGACAGCGTGGAGGAACAGAACAGTGGAGTTCATCTGAAGGGCGGCGAGTATCGCTGCTAATCTGACAGTCACTTCCAACGAGTCTTTAATCATGTCTCACTGATCAATACGTTTCGTCCCGCTCACTGTGAACATCAAGCTCACAGTCACTCCATTATGGGGAGCTGTCAGTGTGAATGGCGCACATGAATGCATGTGGCCACACACATGCAGGTTTCTCATATTGTTAACACCGAGGTGATACTAACCATCGTAAGTCCCACTCTCCAGTAGAAGTCCACTCTCCTCCAGGATCCGGAAGTCTCCAACACTGATGAAGTTGTAGTCCACTCCTGGCACCTCCGTGTCTCGGGGAATCCGTGTGGTACCTGGAAAAATAAACAAAAATAAAATGCACGGCATGTTTTAGTATGCAAGAGATACATGCACGGCATGTTTTAGGTAAGAGATATAAGTGCTTTGGGATGATGACGTTACATCATGCGACACTTTATGACTTTGGTTGTATTCTGCTTTTGTTGCGTCAAAGCCTTGACCCTGACCCGAGACACCTCTCATCCAGCTCCAGCTCTATAACGTTTTACGTTTTTTTGAAGATCTTCAACTGACCTTCCTCGTTCACGATTCATAAGATGCAGAAGATCCAGTTTTGTAACAGCGTTTTTGTGATCTGTGCAAGGCTTTCCCAGAAAGAGTGGATATCTCATTTTGGAACGAAAAACCCAAAAGACCCTGGTGCCTCCTGTGAAAGATGGATAATTGATGAGGGCCTGCGGCGGTATTCATTTAATCCTCCATGAGTAACTGCAGCTACACGTCGTTATTGGGGGGCTTCTTGATGTATCTACTGGCTACGGCTGAAATGAAGAAAGCAGCCGAGTAAACTGTGGAGGTGAAAAACAATCAAAGCGATAGGTTGTGTCACCTCCAGGAGTGGCTTAGGTTCACTGTCACAGAGGGCACCGTCAATGCAAATTACACATTCTGTGCAGATTTTGCTCCTGTGGTGACGCCACAGTCTATTTAAACACTGATGGAAACCCCCCCCCCCACTCCACCCCCCCGAATTAATATCCACAAGGCGCAAATGGACACCAAATGATGACATTAGCATGAGGATTATGTAAACCATATCCCATGAATAAATAAGTAGGACTATTCTATTATTGCACTCAAGGCTAATTAAGTGGCGTGCCACCAAACTTGCGAAGTCCATAGAAATAACCTCGGCTGAACAGGAGCCAGGGCAGCAGTTATTTATTACATGGAAGGCTGAACAAAGCGCACAGCGAGAACCTCATCGGAGCTACATTGCACGGCGATGCCCGTGGTTATGGGACAGATTCACTCCCTCACTCTGCCTGGTGAATCCTTTTCAGGGTCGTGGGGAGGACAGCGGTCATGAGGGCGGGAGGGAGGCTGAGAAACACCAGCGCAGGCCACCGGTCGATTAAAAAAACAAACTTCAAATCAACCTGACCTCAGTGTCAGGGGAGATCAGGGCACACGGAGGAGCCCTGCAGCAGGGATGAGATGAGATAAGTCAGAAGGAGATGGATCAGGGTCAGAGTTTAATAATTTTTCACGCAATTTGACCCTCACTGTACCTGCAAACAGCCTCTGTGATTTGACTATACATTACAAATTTGCTAATCCGTTCAATGACATTTGTTGCATTGAAACCTTAAACAGCATATTCTAGTACAACCACAATGGGATCTCATCGAAATATGTTGTTGCACAACCCCGAGTAACTTCTTGTCAGTTGTAATGTCTGCGGCAATTTGCAGCGAAGCCGCTGTATACAGCCTGTGGTGGCCGAAAGGCCTATTAAGTCACTTTATGTTGCCGTCCCCTTTTGTTTTTCCGCTCTCATATTTCCTCGCTAATTGGACGGCGACAGCCTTCTCTGCACCCGAGCAGCGGAGTAAAAGCAGTTTGAAAAAGAAGCAAAAAATACATCAGAGAAGCTTCCTTCCACAGTGCGCCTTGATATCACACCGCACTTTCAGCAGTTTGACATTGCATCGTGTGTGAGAATGCCAGCCTCTGCTGCTTCTCATTACCGACTTGTTTGCCTGCCCGCACTGGCTTTGGTCACTCAAAAATGTCCCCTGTAGCCCAATTACTTGAGCCACAGTTATGTACCTGCCAAATATCTCCCCAAACCATCACCCCAAATGTCACACTGATGTATACCATAAGCCTCCTATTGGGGATCAGTCGCTGACAATATAATGAGGGCTTGCTGAGCTTTGAGGGGACATCTGACTGAAAGCAGCAGAAATTTGAAACATGCTGTCGCACCATCCTTCCAAATACAGGCGGTGGCACTTTGAATATAGGCCTTCAAATAAACTGCTGGAGACTGCTCCTTCAAACAAAATGCTCAGTGTATGTTGAAAAAGGGAGCAGTCGATGCACTGCAGTTAATTAAACCAGACAAGAGGTGATGTGTTAGAAAGGCTTTACCATAGAAGCATTGGTGTCAGGATACAAAGTTATACATAGTATTGGTTAATATATCAGGGAATGCATTTGTATTGTGCAGACGTTACAGCATTGGAATATTTAGACATTTGGGGAAATGATCGAATCGCTTTCTTGCCAAGAGTTAGATCAGTGGATCGATACCGCTCTCGTGTCTCTGGACAGTAAGTCTGTAGCTACAGCCGGTGTTAGAGCCAAAAATGGTATTATAAATACAACTGTATTTCTTTGTGTGTACATTGGGTGGCGCTGTATTCCTGTCCTGGGCTCAGGTATATAGGTCCTGAAATCGCTGTGTTTGTCAGGTGTTTGACCCTGGAAGGGCAAAAGGTTTTGACCGCGATACGCTAATGTGGTGCATTTACTTTTTGTACGTTGTTCCACAACCAGGAGAATAAATGGGATATATATATTTAAACAAACGTCTCTCTGATGTATCGAATGCACCACACCTCACAGGTAGTTCAGCATAGCCTACAACGAGCGCGTCAACCAGGTTACTCCAGAGAGAACAACACCTCAGGAGCTTACAGCCACAGGACTGGGCTTCTTTAACAGCCAGCATCAAGTGTGCTCAGCTCAGTGTAAAGACCGGAAACAGGACAAAATCTGCCCGCCAGCACCTCTAAAGCTCACTAATTAACATGTTATCTTGTTTGTTAAATCTGAGCAAAATCCAAAATGCAGAAAGGACAATTCAGAGATTCCGCTGGTTACTATGCAACCTAATAATGACGTCAAGAATCCAGCAAGTCACTTTGTGCAAAGAAATAGTCCTGCACACAACCCACCGTTTAATTATACGGCGTTATTTTTCCATTTTCTGCGATTTTGCACAGGTTGAGATATAATTCTTCACCCTTTGGAGAAAGCCAGTTTACCTGTTTCCAGTCGTTATTCTAAGCTGAGCAAACCAGCTGTTTGTCGGCTGTTACTTTGTATTTACCGGACAAACTGAAAATTTCCCCCAGTAATTTCATGGCCACGCACAGTGGTCACAGCCATGTGTGTCCGTCTATCCTGGACTGAAACAAATTGTCACTTCAGTCTTGCAAGGTCTCAAGCCCGTGCACCGCTGAGACCTATTTTTCAAACCGTCTGGGCTGAGAGGATGTCACGATGGGAACATCAGAGGTAGTCAGTCAGAAATGGCAGGCCATAAATTTAACATGGTGATTCCGTACATAGTTTAATGTTGGGACTTTGGGGCTTTGCTGTTGAAATGGCGAGAAAGACATGGGGAACGAGAGAGAGGAAGGAGGATCATTACAAAGCCAAAGTCTCTTTTGTGAAGTGTTCGCTTTTAAGATACCGAGGGCTCTGTCATGTGGCTTAGTCTGCTGTTGTTATGTTGTAATAACAGAACACAGCTACTAACATTTAACAAGAAACACACAACGACTTCACACATGAATCTTCTACCATTGTCTTAAAATCTAATATTAGCCAACCGAGGAAGAGAGGGAGAAGACGGACCATGAGGACATGACAGACAACCCGGGGTCTGAAGAGTGAAGCCAAAGCTGAAGCGCCTTAAACCTGCATTCTTTTTGATGGCCATCAGGGGGCGACTCCTTTGGTTGCAAAAATAATTCTGGTTGTATAGAAGTCCATTAGAAAATTACCCTACTTCTCTCTTGATTTATTACCTCACCTACAACATTGTAAACATGAGTTTATGGTCTCACTCTCTAGTTTCAAGTCTTCTTTAATACAGCATGATGCTCATTTAGTAAATTATGATCCCATTAGGAGTAAAATAGATCATAAAGCAGGGTGTGCTTTAGGGCGTGGCGTAAACATTTCTTATTTAGCATTCCGTTGTACTTAGCTCCACACATTTGTGTCACTTTTGGTTCCAAAAACAAAGATGGCAACAGCTGAAATGCTGAACTCGAGGCTTCAAAGCAGCAGTCCAAAAACCGATGGGTGACGTCATGGTGACTAAGTTCACTTCTGATATACCGTCTATGGGAGAATTCGCTCCTGAAATAGTTGCAACGAAGCAGGCAGAGAGGTCACGGCTTACAGCTGTATGTGTCCATGACGTTTACCAATTTGGCCCTGCATGTCTGTGCATGTGTACCTGGCCAGTACATTGTGTGTGTGTGTGTGTGTGTGTGTGTGTGCATAAGTGAGAAGGAGACTTTGAGTCAGATCAAACTCTTTCTGCCCATCTCTGATCTCAGCAGGGAGTCGAGGGACAGCGTGTGACCCTGAGCTCTTTGTCCTCTTTTAGAAATCCTCCTCCCTTCGTCCTCTCCACAGCTCTTGGGAGCCTCCTCCAGCGTTTCCGTAACAGTCCAAATGAGATGAAGCCCTTCCCAAGGCCCAGTGAAGGAGACTCAGGGATTTACCACACAGAGACCATAAGGAGCTTGCTCTCTTTGTCTCTCTGCTCATCACTTTTCTCTCCCATCCCTCCGTTACAGAACACACTCAATGCCTGTCTCTCTTTCTCTTTCTATTTGAACATTCCTCTTTTAGCTTTCATAACTGGCCTAAAAGTAGAAACTAATGCTTTCATCATGGGCCCCAACGTGCTGCAGCTCAGCAGAACTGACCCTGTGGTGCTGGTCGGACACACAAACAAGACAGCACAGATCAGCTGCAGTTGTGTGAGAGTACAGCAGTGTGGCTGGCTGGTAGTTAAGTGAAGTGGAGCACTGGCACAGTGACACAAACCGCATCTGCTAATCCTCTTGCAGTCTGCCTGATTGTCAACACATTTGGGATATAAATCCACTCTCATCAATATGTGACGTACAACACGTTCAACTGCCACACGACTACTCAAACTGCCTTGTGTACTTCTTCCAAAAGTCTCGGTCTCGCACAGGGAGAAAGAAAAGATCCCGTGTCAGTGTCAAAAAGCTGTCAAGCATGTACAGCACGTTTAGAGGGCGAAGCTATGGGAGCGAAATACCAGCAGTAAGAGCAGTTGATAGAGAGAGACAAGCCTCAACAAGCACCTTGTTGTGTGGCTTCTTGGTCCAATGTGGTTCAGTTTGGCCAGTTGTCTGCAGAAGTATAATTCTAGACAGACAATGCATGTAGAGATTATATGTTTGTGGACAATTGAGCAAGGCGCCCACACACATGAATCGATGCTCTCAAATAGAGCTGATGTCTGGATTTCAAACTTTGCATTTCAGAGGAAATATGTGTGTACTCTATGTTACTGTAATTAATGGTATAAGGCTCAATTTGGGACCCACAGCCGCTCTGAATCAAGTGATACACATTGCAGTTCAAAAGTTGGGAATCAGCTTGTTATATTGATGTTTTTTGTCTTTCCTCCGACAATGACTATTTCGACAGAGACAAAAGGAGTATAATTCACACACCAAATGCACATTTGAAATAGTTTTGTTCACAAAAGAAGACGAATTAAGTGATTAAAAGTTCTGTTTAGTTGATCCAGTGATTTCCAGCCTATAAAAGCATAAGTGACTCTCGATCATAAATAGATTACAATGGTGCATTTGGGCTCTTAAAACATTGGGAAGCAGTTTTTCTTTGGGCCCTCTGCAGTCTACTCAGTGGTTGAATTGAACAGGTTATAACTGATATTCTAGCCTGACACTGACCTATTTTTCTTGCAACGCTTTACAAAGAGCTTTGCTAAAGCAACACACCTGTCAATATTCCAGCTGGTTATCGGCATTATTGTGCACTTGACACTGAAAAAGGAACTTGTTCCTATTTAAATCTCCAATTTAAATTCTTTCATCAATGACTGAAGATTTATTCTATTCATAATCAACTGTTGCTCAGAGGGAGCTTTGTCTCTTTCTGCCCTTTTCTATTCTATTTCATTCTAGTCTGGTTGAACCATCAAACAATGTTTTGTTCTCCAAAACAAAGCCTTCTTACAAAAAAGCATTTATTTATAAAGAGGACTTTCTACAACCTAAAAGCATGAATGACAATTAAAAAATATAAAGTCCTCTCAGTGATCTGAATGTAACAAATCAAGCTTTTATGGCAGGCGATTGTAGACAGCAGTGTATAAGGACCTTCTTCATGCTCCTGAATACTGATTATAGCTTTGATTTCTATTCGAACATCACAACATTATTACATTAGTATCGTTTGCTGCTTAGCAGAGTGGTCAACACAATACATTTAAACATACATTTTTGCTTTTCTAGTTTTTCTTTTTCTATTTTTACACTTGTGTAACCAAAATCAGCTCAGAAATATGAAGAACGCTTCAAACTGAAAAACAAACTGAGTGAACCAACCAGTTTTTTTCTTCTTTTTTTGAAAGGCAGGATAGGGTAATTGAAACAGAGAAAAAGTGAAAGTGAAAAAGAGAGAGTGAAGGATGGGAGACTGAAAGCGAGTGAATGAATGATGGAGGTGCCGTCACTGTGCGAGTCCCGGTCTCTTGCTCATTAAAACAGTAATTCAAGCCGGGGATTTAGAGAGTCAGTCTAATGCAGCGAGCCCACTGGCTGCTGATGATGAATGGGTGGTAGAGGAGTCGTAAAAAACCTCAACGACCGCCACTATTGTACAGGGGAAAAACAAATTGGAAGCCATGTTTGCAGTGGTGGTTAAGATCAGGGTGTGTGTACAGGTGTGTGTGTGTGTGTGTGTGTGTGTGTGTGTGTGTGTGTGTGTGTGGAATATCAGGTTGTCCTTGGACGAGAAATCACTGAAGACTTCTCCATCCACTGTTACTGAGCTTTGAAAAGAGGTAGGTATATGAAATAAAGAGGGAGAGTGAGTGAACAAAGGAAACAGTCAAAGGAGGAAAAGAAAGAATTGGTGGTATATGAGGGATGTAAGAAATATATTTCTCCACTTCTAAAAAAAAACCATAAAGAAATTAAATATACATGAAAGGTAAGCAGCTTACTTGCTAAAAAATGTCACACTTGTGCATCCAAAGGTCTCCTCTGAACAAGACAGAGAGCAACTTCCAGCCCTCGGGGAGAAGAGCGCAGAGATGCTGCTTGTTTTTGACAGAGCTGTGCCTCAGAGTCTGTCGTCGCCTCAGGAGCAGTCGCTCTGCATGTGACTAAAACCTCGACTACACTCAATTATGGCGCTCCTCTGAGCAGAGACGGTCTTCAGCAGGACGTGGGAAATATTTAGGCCAAAATATCTGTGTGAACATCATCACAGTTTCAGGATTACTGGTACCGAGTCTTAGTCTCCGGTTTATGCAATTTCACTTCCACACATCATCTGGTGCTTTACAGAAGTGCTGCAATATCTCTTTAAAAATGTACGAGAGCATCACAGAGGGGATGTCTTAAATTCAGTTACAGTTTTTCAGGCCCTTATGATAAATGGAATATAAATTACCAAGCCTTTTTAAGCTTATAATCATCTTTGCTGCTACTGTAATTGACACTATTTATACACAGACTGGTGCTGTTTATTTTGAGTATTTCCGACACAAATCAGGATATTAATCTGCACCTTTACTGTACTAACAGCCGTTTCACTCTAATTTAGGTAATTTTCACACTTTCATTTTAAAAGATTATAACATCCAAGCTCATAAAACCCAAACCCCAAAACATACAGAAGCGTCAGGCTATGAAGCGAAAAGTGTTAACACTTTACAGATACAAAATGTTGTCTACAAGGTCCATTTCTCACTGCTGATTAGTTACAAATACATGAAAAGCATAAATTATCCAGACTATTAGATCAACAGCTGTTTTGCATTGTTTTTGCAATATATATTGCAATCAATGGACATTTCAATTAGGCATGAATTACTGTTACTCTGAAAGCGCACACAGCTGCTGTTCTGTGCAGTGGTTCTTGGCAGTCCACAGTACCAACCGTTGTATTTACCACTCCATTAAAGAATGACAGTTGCTAATTCTCTGAGCGGAATGTCATCGGGGGGGAAAACACAGGGTCCTTCAGGGAAAGAAGATGGTTTATACTGCGATGTTACGGCGCAGAAGTAAAATAAGTTACATGGGGGTTAGGGAGATGTCCTTGATCGGGTTGCTATGGTGACACTGAAGTGTGTGTGTGTGTGTGTGTGTGTGTGTGTGTGTGTGTGTGTGTGTGTTGTAGAGTGTGTGACAGAGCGCTGTGAGAGGATGAAAACGCATGAGTGCAGTGAGCAGCTGCGTGCGTTTGTGAGTGTGGAGAGTGTATACAGTCCTGTGTAGCGTAACAGAAAGAGAACACGAGTGGGTTTTCAGCTGTGTGACAGAAGACTGAAGAACATCCTCGTCGTTCCCATAAGGTGCTTCAGATGAAAACACATATGCACTGAAAGTAGGTTGTATACTGTAGGTTCCTGGTTTGCTTTGTGCTTGCAGGAGTGTAGTGAATGCGGTTGTGAACTTACAGGGGATGGTGCGTAGGTAGAGGTTGTCCCGTATGATCTGTTGGAGCTTGTGGTCCATCGAGCCCTTCTGAAACTGGAGACTGAGGTAGTGGCGCAGGTCCGTGTTCAATACTTTACCTGCAAAGACAGAGGCAGAGGCAGGAAGGGTCAATAAAAGCGGTGCTCTCTCTGAGGGGAAGGAAATCTATCCAAGTGCCATGTACTCTCACAAAGTGATCAATGCCACAGAGTTCAATCAAACTGTTGTTATACTAAGCGGTTACCCTTTTAGAGCATAGGTGTTTAATTTTCTGGTATTTTCACAGATATTGGGTGCTTAACATCATGATATGGATTCCATTCTGAGGGATTTTACTGCATTTCTATATAATTCAATAATAAATACATTCAGTTAAATTCAGTTCAAAACAAGTCGATAATGTAAAAAATGACGGAGGTCATGTAAATGTATTGTATGAAAAGTCGATAACGTATTTATCGTGCCAGGCCTAGCTCCGGGTGCATTTCTTTGGATCGCGTGACCCTCGTTCTTGTAAGCAGGTCAGATAAATGAAACCCTCTCAAAGCCCTTTGGATAATCTCAAAACTCACGGTGATCAGAACAGATATTATTGGCACTCAAGGTTTTCATAGTTGCAATATTATCCACAGCTTTATACACACAGTATACGCCTGTATGTACAGTGTGACCACCTGCTCTGTCTAGCAGAGAGCTTAAATCTTAGTTGATTCACCTTTTAATTCCCATTTGATCCCTAAGGGGAGATTGTAGCTGAGGGGGAGGACGAAGGTTAAACAGATTTTTATAAACTCTGATCCTTTCTGTTAAATCCATTTCAATCATTAAGGGTAAATGGAGATTTAGTGTACAAGAGCGGGATATTTGGCCTAGAAACACTTCAGAATATGCTGTGGAAAAGAGAGCATGATGCTGTAGAAGAGTATTTTGCATACTGAGTGAAGACAGCTTGTTAAAAACACCAAGAACAAACTGGACTGAGATGAATGCTTTGTCATCACTACCTCCGTTCATCTGAAGCAACAAATCTGAAATCCAAACTGCTAAGTGACAGATGATGGATGCCACACGCTCCACTTGTCTTTAGAGTTTCAACAATCTCACACAGGCCTTAAAAAAACTTTTTTTACCAAAGATGCGCAATGCCGCAACCTCAAAACTGAGGCGCCAGAGAAAATCTGAAAAGATTTCGCCTTTGCTCTCAACTCCCAGAAGCCTTTGTAAAAAAACAAAATAAAGCAAGTTCATGCAAAGTTTGAGGCAAAGGAAGACTTCAGAGTCGTCATACACACGCAGCGAAGAAAAGTTTTTCTCTGAAAGAACATGATGAGGAGTTTGGAAAACAGGAAGAGATCTTCGGTGTCTGTCTGCCCTGAGCTTCAGTGTGAGCTTCATCTCTTGACAGATGGGGGAGAGCAGGCTTTGAAACAGTTTGACTACAGAGAAGTAATCACTTTTTTCCCCATTTCTCTCCCCCATTCTCTCCCCGTCTCTCTTTCCCTCTCTGTTGCACACACAGACCAAACTCTGCTCAGCATGATTCCTCTCTGCATTGCTATATGAATACCAATCAGCGGGACTAAAGACGAGCTCTTGCCACTGTAGATGTACTGTATGAGCTAATGGAGAGACGCACTTGACTACAGAGGGGTGATAGAATAATCATGAGCTCTAGGAATATTTCAGCAAGTTTTCTCAAATCCTCTTTTTCCTGCTCAAGACGTCGACAGAAACCACATGTGACCACGCCACAGAGGTCCTATTATTTTGTGCTCTAAACTTACTCTTGCTCCCAGTTTTGGAGGCAGTTGTTAACTCACATCAAAATGCCCCTCATGTCCACAGGCCCCCGCTGCCATCTGACACCGTTTTAGTAGCAGTCCTCCCGACGGGCCTGGCTTTTCAGAATAAAGGTTGCACCGTTCTCCGTCTGCCTGTCCAAAGAGGGCTGCATCACAGCTGGTCTCGCAGAAAAAAACAGACTGAGACTGGGGAACAAATGCCTAATCTGGCAACTTCATCTGAAAACTGTCCCAAGAATATTCTTTTTGTTCAAATTCAGCTCACACACAAGGGAATTAATAGAGAAACATGTTTGTTTCAACAAACTACATATGCTTTCAGCAAGTGATGTAGCATCCAAACGAGGATTCGACACAATTAGCTTCAAATCAGTAAAACAGCCTCATCTTCAAGCCAGAACATGCAAAGCTTTGGCAATTAAACCCCACAATAAATAAAATACATTCATCGATCATCAATCTGCTGGTTACCCTGGATTCAGGCAAAGCTAAACACATGTTTTGAAACTATATACTTTGAATTTCGTTTTCTTCTTTTTGTCAATGTCTTTTTCCTTTCCATGTCGTGGTTCTTCCTTTTCGAATTTAAGAGTCTTCAAATATATATTCTTTGTCTTCCTTAAGTGCTACGAGTTTCTTTTTAGCGGTTTTCCTTGTCTTCTCTGAGAGCTCAGGCTGGTACAGCATTCAATAATGCTGCAGGCCTGTAAAGCCCGTTGAGACTTTGCATGTAATACTGGGCTTTTTACCAGGTTATATGCTAGGTTTTGATCTTTTTTTCGTTCTCAAAACCTCCCTGAGCACCAGCCAATCACATCAAATATTACTCTACGCACGGGGCCCTTAATTGTAAGCTAAAAACTTTGCATTTGTGATGATGAAACTCTCTTTGATGATGAAAGAATGGTAACATCTTCTTACAGTTGTCAAGGGCTCGCTGTAACAAACACACATGCGCACATCAGGCCGCGACCATCAGTAGCAAACAGTCCTCAGCAGGAGATGCTTGCGGCTGTATAGTAGAGCTACCAGGTGTGGATGTGTCTGACTGTAAGACAGTAGAGCCAGCTTGCTCAGTCACATTTCACTGGATAAATAAATGAAAAAACAACAACACCACACACATACACATTGGTTTGATCTGTTCATTGCAGTACAAGTACAGTGTGGCCTTTGTGGCTTCCTGGGTCCTGTCAGAGACTGTTAGTGAGGCTGTGTCACATCAGAGATCCTCATTCCTTCTCCCCACAGATAACACGGCTATTGTAGCGAGCCTCATTTTTCTGTGACGGGGGACTCAATGGGCTCTATTGTGCGCCATCGGCAATCCACTCACTTGTAGCTAACTTCTCTACCGCCAGCCGAGATGGTTGGTGGATTATGAGACAATGGGCACACAGATGCACTCCACCGCCTCTCCGACGTAGGAGCAAGACACAACGATTTCATTGATATTTACCCTATTTTTGTTGTTGTTGTTTTTATGTCTCTTTGCAGTCATTTTGTGGTAATTTTTTGTATCTTTGTAGTTGTTTTGTGCACTTTGACATTGTTTAGGGCTTTTGTAGTCGATTTGTCTCTTTGTGGCCATTCGGGTTCTCTTTGTACTCATTCTGTGTCTCTTTGAGGTTTTTCCCCTCTTCTTGTCTCTTTGTCTCTTCACAGCTGTTTTGCATCTCTTTGTTGTCGTTATGTGTCTCTTTGAGATGTTGGCACTTTTCATAGTCTTTTCGTCTCTTTAAAGCTGTTTTGCATCCATTTGTATTTGTTTTGGCCTCTTTGGGTTATCGATGTGTCTCTTTGTAGTCGTTTTATGTTGCTTTGAGGTCATTTTGAATCTCTTCCTGGTTTGTACGTGTATTTTTGAGTGACATGTAGGTGAAAGCCACGGAGGCCCGTTCAGTAATCCATTCATGAAAAATTACCACAATTTCTTTCATTACACACTTCATTCCACTGTGATTGCAGTCAATGTGATGGCAGAAAATGACCCCTAATTTATCTCTTGTCAGTTATATCATGAGCTATATCCTCAGGCTTCCTCCAAATTAGATGAGATTAGACTAATCAAACGAGCGGGTCCCTTTAAGTGAAGCTGTTGCTTTACGCTCAGCTCGTCCACAGATCCTCTGCTCTCCTCTGTCATTTTTGCATGAAGTGACGGCAGAGGATGTGTCAGAAAAGAGCAAGGTCGCCCACGGGAATCCTTCGGCAGCGCGTTGCCATTTCACCTGACATCAGCAGTACTGCTCTTCTCAAAAACTGGAGGCTCAGAGGAAATGTCTGTAGCGACGGTCGCAGTGCCTGGCACCCCTAGTGAAGCGACAGACTGTTAACATCCTCACTTAGACCAACACCTCACTCAGAAGCCACAGCATTAGATTAACACTCCAAGCTCAAGACATAACTCTCTCTCTCACACACAAGCACATGTCAAGCATCCGTTTGAAGAGATTTGCTCTGTGAATGTTATTATGCACTTGTTGAGTTTGTGAACATTATTACATAAGATTGTAGTACCGATAACACATCATGTCATTTTTAACTGTATTGAGACCACTGTAAGCCATAAAAGAAGAAAAACACGGAACATTATTTTTTGCTGGCGCTCCAGCTTTGCCTCAATTTGTCACATCTATTTTTAAACCAGTCACTGACCAGAACTCGTGGAGAAGAGGTTTAAATTGGCTGCTGTCAATCAAATGTTTTGAATTTGAAAAATGACTTCATCTAGGTACTAATCAATTTGAATTGTATTAATCTAAACTGCACATTGTAATACATTATTTCATTGTAATGGAATTACAAGTTAGAGTGCAAGTTTTCTGATCAGACAACTCTGAATAAAAATACCTGCATCATGCTTCCTAACCACCAAGAATACGTGATAATTGAGTTGTTCAATGTTTTTGGGAAATACGCATTTTTGCTTTCTTGCTGAGAGTTAAAGAGCTCATTTTCAGGTTCATACTTGTATTTTGGGTTTCTACTAGACCGTGGTTACATGCTTTAATGTTCAAAAAACACATTATTTTTCTGATACTGTCTGTCAGAATATACCTGTATTTACCCTCTGTCTGAAATGCTCCGTTTTAGAGCCTGTCTCTTTAAGACTCCCTCGTGGAAAAGCTCAGTCTGCTCTGATTGGCTTGAGCAATAAATATTGTGCACCTGTGCAAGGGTAAAGTTCTCAGGCCGTGGTGGAGACAGGCCCACAATGTCCCCGCTAAGGCCTTAAGCCCTGCACACTAAGGGAAACTTAACTTACATCCCCCAATAAATGGTTGTGAGAGGCT